TGTGAACGAATTTTCTCTATTCTGGGTTGGTTTTATGGGAAAAAAAGACAGCGTTTAAGTTTAAAAAATTTAGAATCACTAACTAAAATTCGACATCACAATTTATTTAATGCACATAAAGAGTTATCATACAGTGCAAAAAACAAAACTGAAGATGAATTGGTAGTGATGATCCAAGGATCATATCTGTTTGATGATGAGAATTATAGTGAAGAAATTGAAAATGAAAATAATGAAAATAGTGAATCAGATGACGATGATGATTTAGTGATTCCTAATCATCAAGTGGTGGTTTTAGTTGTTAACGATATTGTAGATTTGAATCACCGAATGTTTAATCAAGCAGATAATCAATATACTTCTAACGAAGAAAATAATAATTCAGATATTGCTATGAATGACGATCATGAATTTAATTTAGAAGAGTTGATTCATGATCAGGATTTTGAATAGTTAGTATACGTATCAATATATTTGTTATAGTATGTATATAAATATATATATTATTAAATAAAATAAGCAGTAGTTGTTTAATATATATGTTATACGTCGTCGAAATCGAATTCCAACTTTGAAACCCGTTCAAGCACTGTTTAGAAACGCATACATAAACTGGATGAATAAAAATAATATGTTAGCTTATCATATATAGATTTTTATATTTGATTATTAAGGCGTAATCATAGTCAGTAAGTACAGTAAACCGGATATAGAAATCATTGAATTTGTATTGTTTATAGGGATCTTAAAGATAATACAAGTTTAATGTAAATTGTGGATGCCACCTAAGGGTGTTCTCAATTCTTTAGTATAGTTCCGGAATTTAGTATAGTTTCGGGTTTTTAATATAGTTTCGGAATTTTGATATAGTTTAGAAGTTTATTATAGTTTCGGAACTTTTTACATAGTTTCGGAATTTTATATAGTTTTGGAATTTTAACAAAGTTTAGAGTTTTGAAAATTAGTTTCGGATACATAAAACTAGTTTCGGTTTCGGTTAGTAACCCAAATTAGTTTC